TACCCGACAGGTCTGCAGGAAATACATCTGGAAAGTCTCGCACGATCGGTACTGAATCAATAATAGGAGTATCAATATCAACATCTCTCACAAAGGCCAAATATGACAGACATCCCTTTTCAACCATACGTTGGGCCTTCAAATAAGAAATTACCCTGCTAGGAACAAAATCTAGAGAACCTCTCCATTCAACCTTTGCCAACCCCGGCATCATCAACATCACAATTTTTGCGTGACAGTCCAAAATAGCATGACATGGAGACAACCAATCCATACCCAAGATTACATCGAAATCAACCATACCAAGTAATAAGAGATCGGCTTTAGTCTCCAATTTCCCAATAGTCACCACACACGACTGATACACACGGTCCACGATAATAATATCACCCACCGATGTAGATACACAAACAGGTGAAACTAAGGACTCACAGGGCATATCCAGGTAATGAGCAAAATACGTTGATACATATGAATAAGTGGAACCAGGGTCAAATAATATAAAAGCCTCCCTGTGGCACATTGAAAAAATACCTGTGATCACTGCGTCTGAGGCAACAGCATCTGGCATGGCAAAAAAAACATAGAATCGAGCATGCCCGCCACCTGATCGGCCTCCCCCTCTTGGGCGACGCCTAGCTACCTGATCCCCACCTCGAGCTGGTTGGGCGGGTGGTGTAACTGCTGGAGCTGGTGCCGTTTATCGAGAACTATGCTGTGGAGCCCCACTCAACAGCCTAGGACAATCTTTCTTGAAATAACCCAATTCTCCGCACTCGAAACAACCCCTCCTCTGACGGAACTGCTGCTCCTGATAACCCGAAGAAGTACCTGTAGAAGCCTGAGCAGACGAGGCATGATGAGAACTCTACACTGGTAGTGCACTGAATGAAGACCGGCCTGAGTGAGCACTGTAAGAACCATGGCTAGCTGATGCACCATGATGAGCTGGACGACCCGCCTGAGCATGTCTGTAAGAACGGCCCCTACCGCGGTAAAACGGTACCCCTGAAGGAACACCGCTAAAATCATCGGAACCACAAGGCCTCTTAGCCTCCCTCTCAACCCGCTCCTAGCTACGAACCATCTCAATCTGACGAGCAATGTCGACAACCTCGTCGAAAGTAGCACCAGACACTCTCTCTCTCTAGTCATGAGTAATCGCAGCTGGAAAGTGAGGCCATCTATGAATCTCTTGATCCTTTCCTTGTCTGTGGGAATCAACCAGATAGCATGACGGGCCAATTCTGAAAATCTCATCTCATATTGTGTCATGGACGTATCACCCTGACGAAGCTGCTCAAATTGCATGCGCAGTTCCTCTCTGCGGGACTGAGGCACGAACTTCTCCAGGAATAGACTGGAGAACTGCTGCCAGGTAAGGGGTGTTGTACCGACCGGCCTACACCTCCGTAAGACTCCCACCATCTGAAGGCAACCCTAGAAAACTGAAAAGAAGTAAATGAGACCCCACTGGTCTCTAGAATACCCATTGTCTGAAGCATCCGCTGACACTTATCCAGAAAGCCCTGGGCATCCTCTGACTCAGTACCGCTAAATGGTGGAAGTCGAAGCCTCTCAAATCTCTCAAGTCTCCTCTGCTCATGATCTGCCATAACAGGAACTACCGGGGCCTGAGCAGCTGCAACCGGTTGGGCTAGTAGTGCCCCCGGTATCTGAAGTCCCTGTACTACCTTGTCTGGAGTAAGGGCAACGGGGGTATGAGTATCTCCCCCGGCCTGAGAAGCGGCAGGTACGTCCTGAGCCGAAACCACCTGAGCAAGACCAGTGCAAGCTGCCAATATCTGGGCCAAAGTCTCCTGAAGGCCTGGAATCTCAATGGGCACAGCTGGTGCCTGAGCTGATCCTATCGGCTCAGCTATATCCGGAATCTGCTCCTGAGCTGGAGCAACCGGTGGTACTACAGGTGCTGGTCCAACTGTGGTACGAGATACACCTCGACCTCTACCTCAGCCCCGGCCTCTACCACGGCCCCGGCTTCTCGTGGCCCTAACTGGTGGCACTGGTGGCTGACCGCCCGATCCGGTAGTACGTGTCTGCACCATCTGTGAGAGAATAGAATAGTAGAAATTAGTTTCCAGAATCAACAAATTCGCACGACAGAATACAAGAAAGTGAAATTTTCCTAAGGGTTCCGCAGCCTCTCGAAGATAAGTATAGACGTCTCTGTACCGATCCGCAAGACTCTACTAAACCTGCTCATGACTCATGAGACCTATGTAACCTAGGCTCTGATACCAACTTGTCATGACCCAAAATCCCAACCTATCGTGATGGCACCTATCTCGATACTAGGCAAGCCGATAATCTCGATAAACCACAATTTCTCTTAAGTTTGAAAATATAATAATTTAATATAATACAAAATCCCATAAATACTGACACGAACACTCCCCAAAACCTGGTGTTACTGAGTACATGAGCATCTAATATGGATACAAATCTGAAACATAAGGTCTATAATAGTCTAAGACCAAAATACAATAAACAAGGAGATAGGGAAAGAGAGACAAGGTCTGCGAAACACGACAGCTACCTCTAAACCTCCTGAAAATCAACTGTGCGAAATGATCAACACCCGCTATATCCGGGAACACTTGGATATGCACACGAAGTACAGGGTATAGTATGAGTACAACCAACTTAGAAAGTAACAATAATAACTAAGGAACTGAAGATAATGACAAGCTACATAGTTATAGTTCTCTTTCAGTAATTCCAACAAAGAATAGACATGCTTTCAAATCCGGCAGTTTAAGCCAAATCAATTTTATACAGTTCAATTTCATGTAATCCGAATATAAAATCTTTCAGAGATTTCACAACAATGACAGATAGCAATCAAGTGCAATAACAAATGCAAAGCAAGTACAGCCTCTCAAGCAACAGTCACTCAACTCATCACTCGGCTCTCAGCCCTCAGCACTCACACTCAATGTGTACTCGCGCTCACTGGGGGTCGTCCAGACTCCGGAGAGGCTCCTACAGCCCAAGCGCCATAATCTGCACGGATAACTCACGTGCTATAATATCCTTCAGGGACAATTCACATGCCATAATATCCTTACCTCACCGACAGGCCCTCGGCTTTACTCAGTCCTCAACCTCTCTAGTCTCTCGGGCTCTCAGAAATCACAAAGATCAGCCCAAACAAAGATAACATAATGCATCGACCCCAACTCGACCCTCAAATCTTCAATTTAAACTAAGAGGGATTTAAAAATTTTCCAACTTAATTCACCAATTAAATGATAAAAACAACCATGGATTCGGGTAATTTAACCAATATTGAGTTAAGAATACTTACCCCGTTATTTTTCTTGAAACACTCCCGAAAATCGCCTCTTTCCGTGCTCAAATCCGTCAAAAACTGCCCATTTTCAGAACTTAAACTCTCTACCCAGACATTTGCTCTACGCGATCGCGAACATTCCCACGCGATCGCGAAGAACAATTTTCTATCGCCCAGATTTTACTCTACGCGATCGTGGACCTTCCCACGCGATCGCGAAGCACAACATCACAGACCTACATGATCGTGGACTCATCCACGCGACCGCGAAGCACAAAACGCGTGACTTTTATTTTTGCTCTACTCACTCTACGCGAACGCGACCTTCTTCACGCGTTCGCGAGTCACAAAATCCCAGAGCTATGCGATTGCGTCCCGCTTCACGCGATCACGAAGCACAAAATGCCTCTGCCTCACATTAACCCTACGCGATCGCAGACGCATTCACGCAATCGCTTAGAAGGAAAATGTCATCAGATATCAGAAAATTCCAGCAGTTGTTCAAGTCCAAATTTTTGATCCGTTAACCATCCAAAACTCACCTGAGCCCCTCGGGACCTCAACAAAATATGCCAACAAGTCCTAAAACATCATATGGACTTAGTCGAACCCTCAAATCACCTCAAACAACACTAAAACCATGAATTACACCCCAATTCAAGCCTAATGAACTTTGAAATTTCTAGCTTTTACAAACGATTCCTGAACCTACCAATTTAAGTCCGATTGACCTCAAATTTTGCACAAATATCATAAATAACATAATGAGGTATTCAAATTTTCAGAATCAGATTCCGACCCCGATATCAAAAAGTCAACCCCTGGTCAAACTTCCCAAAAATTTAACTTTCGGCATTTCAAGCCTAATTCCACTACGAACCTCCAAATAATATTCCGGACATGCTCCTAAGCCCAAAATCACCATAAGGAGCTATTGGAATCATCAAAATTTAAATCTCAGGTCGTTTATACATAGGTCCATATCTGGTTCACTTTTCTAACTTAAATTTTTAATTATGAGACTAAGTGTCTCATTTTACTCCGAATTCCTTTCGGACCCAAACCCACTAATCCGGTAAGTCATAAAATAACTATAAAGCATAAATTAAGTATTAAATGAGGAAGCATAGTTATAATACTCAAAATAACCGGTCGGATCATTACACTGCCCATACATTTTAAAGACCTAACTTTATGTTTGATTTGGGAGAGCAAGAGAGAGAACAACAACCATTTTTCAACACAATAGAGATTGTGTGTAAATTTTTCTGTTGAAAAATCAACTTGAACAACCACCTTCAAACTTCGATTCCTGCTTCATTTCTTGTCGGACTATATTGAAATTTGAACTCAATATTTCCAGCATTTTGGTGTTCGATTAGAAATGGCAAAAATCATGTACGACCACCTAAACTTGTCCCGATTTTCCTCTGAGACAACTTATCTAAGGTATGTTCCGATTGAACACTTCATGTAACACAGATTTATTCCAAATAGGCAATTATTTTCCTTTTTGTGCTGGAAGCTCATCGCGTGTAACTAAATGCCATTGACATGTATTAACAATCAATCAAAATGTAAAAGCTGTATTATTTTTTTCACAGTGGCTATTTAATTTTAAAAGGCTAAAATTATTCGATAATAACAACAAAAAGCCCTAGTGCCTTGTTAAACTTAACGCCTGTTTCTTCCTTTCTCTCTCTGGTGAATTGGAAGGAAAATCGAAGAAGAAAACTTGAAGAAACATTTGGTGATTCCTGGAATCTTATGCAGAAGATACTTATTGTAAGTATCAATTTCTCTCGTTGATGAAAAATAATGATTCAAATATGTCTAAAAAATTAGGGTTTTTTGCTTCATGATTTGGGGATTAGGGTTTGAGAATATTCCGTTTATTTCCTATATCCCTTTTTCGATTACATGAAAATATATTTAATTCTGAGCCATGTTCTGTCATTGTCTCTAATCTCCCTTTTCGATTTTATTCAGCTTTGATTCAAATGTTAGAGGAAGTTATATTCACAAAAATGCACCATGGGGTCTACTTTTTCGAGATTCATGTCCCCACTTATGTTGGTGAAAGTGAACAAGCAGGTATGTATATGGACAATGACCACTTTTCTACTACGAAGCTGGAATTTTATACTAAAGAAATAGGGTATGTGACTATCGAGGAATTTTATTATTAGAATAGTGAGACCAAACAATTTTACTTGGTAGAGTCAGACCTACACCTATTAGACCTAATAAAGGACTTAAAGTATGGGGACGACTTTGAAGTATGGGTTAAACATGTTGTTGACCAGACTTTAATTTTAGATAGGGAGGGACCTACTGGCTACCTAACTGGAGAGAATGAAACTTTGTTATTAAATAACAGAGATGATGAGTCATTTAACCTACAAGAAGTTGTTGTAGAATAGGTAGTTCAAAGTTTGGGAGGTGATTGCACTAGTAAGTTAGATGTAGAAAGTCATATTTCAGAGGTGGAGAGTAGTGATTCAGATCTGGAAAATATACCTGAAGAGGATGATTCAGATGTAGATGAGGAGTTGAGAACTCTTAGACAAGATAAAAGAAACAAAAAGTAGAAGAAAAAATCTCCTGTTACAGAAGAGATACCTGTTGGAGAGGTTGGTAGTATAGATAAAGGGTTTGAGGATATTGGGGTAGACAAGGCTAATAAATATGCTGGAAAGGTTGGAGGACATGAAGACTATATCAATAGCTCTTAATGTTGGAGTGATGATAGCAAGGAGGAGCTAGATATCGAAGCTGTTAGAGGAGTAGATTTACCCTCTAGGAGGAGAAGTAAAAAAGATATGATGAAGCTTGTAAGGTGGTTGTATTTGAGCTTGGTATGAAAATTGAGAATGTAACACAGTTTAGAAAGGTTATGGCAGATTATGTTGTTGAGTATTGGAGGAAAATTAAATTAAGACCTAATGAGCCTCATAAGGTAAGGGTTAAGTGTAAAACAAATACATGTAAATGGTTGTTGGCTGCTTCTTTGGATAGAAACTCTGGTAATTTTAGAGTCATTAACTATCATCTTGTACATAAATGCATTCCTACAAACAAAAATAAGCTTTACACTTCTAAGCTTATTGCTAGAAAATTCAAGGATAGGATAGTTTCCCAACCATATATAAGACTTTGGGAAATTCAAGACTTGGTTAGAGACAAGTTGGGTCTTTATGTTGGTAGGAATGTGTGTCAGAGAACAAAACATAAAGTCCTGAAGAAAAATATGGGTGATTGGAAGCTGGAATTCTCTAGGTTATGTGATTATGTAGACTTCATCAAGAGAACTAATCCAGGAAGCTCAAGCTGGGTTAAAATTGATAGAGAGACTGAGCCTGGAAAAATTTGTTTGTATATTATTATGTATGTTTTGAAGACTTCAAGAAAGGATGGTTAGATGGGTGTAGGAAAATCATAGGAATTAATGGTTGTTTTCTTAAGGGAGCTTGTGGAGGTCAACTTCTTGCTATTGTTGGAAGGAATGGAAACAATCAAATATTCTCTACTGCTTGGCTGTTGTGGATTAAGAAACAAAACATAGTTGTAGTTGGTTCTTAGGATATTTGATTGATGACTTAAATCTGGGCACTGGTGAAGGTTTGATTGTAATGTCAAATATGCAAAAGGTAATATTTCGGCTCTTTTAAACTTTCTGATTTTCTTTTAATTATATTCTTCTAAACTTTCTGTTCTTCTTTTGATTATATTCTTCTAAACTTTCAAATCTTATAAGTACTTTATTTTGTAAGGACTTGTTCCTGCCATAATGGAGTTATTGCTAAATGTAGAGCAAAGAATGTGTGCTAGGCATATCTAGAGTAACTGGTTTATCAAATGGAGAGGAGAAGACAGAAGAAAGCAATTCTTGAGATATTCAAAAGCTAGCTTTGAAGTCAAATTTAAAAAGGATTGGCAGTATTGAAACAAACTTAACCTTAGGTTGAAAGTAGTGACGAGCTTGTACCAAGGTCAGAGTCTAACTCCCATAAGCAACAACAATTCATAATATCATAAAGCAAGTAATAAAAAAAGTATCCCAGATATAAAATGCTCAGCTGAATCATGATTTAAAAAAAATATTTTGCTTTTCAAGTACATCAATGAAAACCCAAATCGTTCACCGGAGTTGCCCGAAATATGAATAAGTTTGAAAACAATAATATTTCCCAAAATCCTTTTAATAATAAATAAGATGTTTCATTTTCTTTTCAGATAACCAGTCTAAAACAAATGCATCACTATGCCCATCTGTCAACATGCGTGAGAAATTATGAATGATGTGATACCGTACAACATGAGGAAAATACATCTCTATGCGTGTATGTCATGTGTGCATATCAATACAATCTATCTCAGAGATGTACTCATGTACTCACACTCTCAGAGTACTCAATCTCCCTGCCTTGCATTCTCTCTCACTATACTCAGTACACTCAATCACTCAATGCTGCACAATACCCGCTGCGGTGTGCAGCCCGATCCCTGTTTATAGTCGACTGCGCTCACTGGGGCTGTGCAGACTCCGGAAGGGGCTCATACTTTCCGAGCGCTATAATTTGCACGGACAACTCACGTGCCATAATATCAATTTCTGGATCCGTACGGACAACTCACGTGCTATAGTATCAATATCTGGATCCGCACGAACAACTCACGTGCTATAATAAGCCAATTTGTCTTGCTGCAGTGTGCAGCCCAATCCCATAATAATAAAGTATATAAAGCCAATATGGCATGTTGCGGCGTGCAGCCCGATCCTATAATTATCCTCACAATCAGGCCCTCGGCCTCACTCAGTCATCAATCTCTCCAGTCTCTTTCTCATGGGCTCACAATGTCATGAAAATAGCCCAAAATGATGATATGATATATTAATAAATAACAACAGACACTGAGATATGATATGTAATGATATGAATATGACTGAGTATGAATTTTCGATTTAAAACAAATAATTCACAGCAATACGACCTCTGTGGGTCCCAATAATACGGGCACATAGCCTAAACATGATTTTTAATATGATTCTCAACTCAATTCCTTCAACACATAAAACTACATAGAAAATGTCAAGATTATTCGACTACAAAATTTCACGAAAATAATTACGTCACAATTTCTATAGTGCACGCCCACACGCTCGTCTCCTAGAATGTGCGTCACCTCCCAAAAATTCACATAATACATATATTCAGGGTTCATACCCTCAGCTCCATGATTAGAAGAGTTACTTACCTCGAACAAGACGAATCCAATGTCGAGCAAGCTAAACAATGCTCCAGATATTCCATTCTACGCGTATCAACTTCTGAACGGCTCGAATATAGCCACAATTAATTTGATTCAGTCCACAAAATTATAGGAATTAATTCCATATCAAAATACTACTATTTTTCACAAAATCCGAAATTACACCCCAAAAATTACCCCTAGGGGGCACGTCTCGGAACCCGACAAAAGTTACAAAATCCGATAGCCCATTCAACCACGAGTCAAGCCATACCAATTTTACCAAAATCCGACCTCAACTCGACCCTCAAATCTTCAAACTCCGAAAATACTACAATGCTCCAATTGATTAAAATGTCCAAATATCACCCACAATTCAATACCTACCATTAGATATCTCAACTACATCAAAATAAATACGAAACGATTCATAAATATCCATTTAGGCTTCATAATTTGCAACAAGCCTTCAACCATCCCAAATTATCCAATAGGCTCATCTATTAGCCTATTCAATTCCATTCTTATCAATTAAGTTATCAAGTCTATTGGAATTATTAGAAACTCAAAACAATTCCTTTTATATCAATTCATCATTATTCATCTTCTTCTTTGCCCAAAATATCATTTTCAAGACCCTCCCTTAGGGTTCATACAATATCCCGTTTCAACTTCAAATAAAACTCATAAACATGCTACCCATACTCTAATATGACATATATATGAAGCTCAATTGAAGGGATTACCTCTTGGTGGAAGAATCTAACTTTTTCTCTTTTTGGTGTTCTTGAAGATTCAACCCATTTCCTATAGATTTGATCCATAATAATGTTAGTGTTATCACTAAATGATGTTATATAATCATCCTTGTACCAAAATAACCTACCTTGAAGTATATCCATGGTGGAAGAGCTCCTCCTTCTCTCTAGAAATCCATTCCAAGATGAAGAACTAGCCCATTCTCTCTCTAAACCCACGTTTTCAGCTCTTAAAATAACCCCTTTAAGCTACTAGATTTTCCTACGCAATGCTGCGTAGGCTACGCTGCTATGCTGTGTAGGCTACGTAAGACTCGTGTAGTTGTTATGCCACCCTTTAATAAAAATGTCATAACGTCTTGTAGAAATTTCCAAATTACAAACGGTTTGAAGCATTAGACATTAGACACATAGACCTTCCTTTTGATAGGTTATACACCATATACCTCTTCATATCTTGAGATTTATGCTCATTTGAAGTTAGGTCTTGTGCGAACTCACTTGAAACTTTATCCCATCATATAATTTTCAACTTGACTTAGCCTTAGGGCTCTTTTTAGACCATAAACCATTCTTAATGCACCTCATACATATATTATCATTATCAATTGATATCATTCATATTATTAGTCTTGTTCATACCCGAATTAATATAATTAGCACCCGCCAATCTCCTTAATGGTCTTAAAACTCTTCGAATTGTTTCCGGGGTGTTACAATTTCAGTCTGTTCTTATCTTTCTCAACTTGATTGGAAGAAGCTTTTAAAACCGCTAGCTCAGCGGAGACCATCCTCAGTTGTTTTTCCAAAGCTCCTTTCTCCTCAGCAAGAATTTCTTTCTCCAGTTGAAGGCCTTCAAATTGTTCTTTCCAGTTGTTAGCCTCAGTACGTAATAAATCCTTTTCATAAGCTTTGTACCTGACAAATTGATCTACAAAAAGACAAAAGAAAAGAAGTTACGAATGAGAAAAAGGAAAGAAAAATAAGTAAGTTAAGATATACCTTAAGAAAAGAGTGAATGATGTCATTCATCAAGGTAAAAGAGTTGTGACTCTCCAACTTCTTCTTTTCTGCGGGTCCTAG